GAATTATGTCTGTCCTATATAGGAGGTTTTTATATCAGATATCAAGGGGTCAGAATTATGTCTGTCCTAAATAGGAGGTTGTTTTTATATCAGATATCAAGGGTCAGAATTATGTCTGTCCTATATAGGAGGTTGTTTTTATATCAGATATCAAGGGTCAGAATTATGTCTGTCCTATATAGGAGGTTGTTTTTATATCAGATATCAAGGGTCAAAATTATGTCTGTCCTATATAGGAGGTTGTTTTCATATCAGATATCAAGGGTCAGAATTATGTCTGTCCTATATAGGAGATTGTTTTTATATCAGATATCAAGGGGGTCATAATTACATCTGTCCTATATAGGAGGTTGTTTTTATATCAGATATCAAGGGTTCAGAATTATGTCTGTCTTATTTAGAGATTGTTTTATATCAGATATCAAGGGGTCAGAATTATGTCTGTCCTTTGTTTTTTATCAAATATCAAAGGGGTCAGAATTATGTCTGTCCTATATAGTAGGTTCCTTTTATATCCAGTATCAAGGGAGTCAGAATAATGTCTGTCCTATATAGTAGGTTGTTTTAATATCCGATATCAAGGGGGTCAGAATTATGTCTGTCCTATATAGTAGGTTCCTTTTATATCCAGTATCAAGGGTGTCAGAATAATGTCTGTCCTATATAGTAGGTTGTTTTTATATCCAGTATCAAGGGGGTCAGAATAATGTCTGTCCTATATAGTAGGTTGTTTTTATATCAGATATCAAGGGGGTCAGAATTATGTCTGTCCTATATAGTAGGTTGTTTTTATATCAGATATTAAGGGGGTCAGAATTATATCTGCCCTGTATAGAGGTTGTTTTTATATCAGATATCAAGGGGGGGTCAGAATTATGTCTTCTATAGAGGTTGTTTTTTATGTGAATTCCATGTTTTGAAAACTTTTTCTGGCTAACATTTTTTGCGTTTAGTATTTTGCGTCTTAGTATTTTGCATGTTCTGCTGTATAGCGATTATCATCCAGTGGGAATGGGGTAAGACCGAGGACACTGCAAGGAATTAAAATACTTTGAGGTTGCTGTGCTTGCATTCACCATACCACTCCTTCCATATGAATGTGTAAAGAACAAGTGCAGACATTCATTACACCTAATTTCTACACATTAGACCTAATTTTTCGACATTCTATTATTTCTTTCTACTGCATCTTGATTGCATTACTTCATATGGCTTAAGTTTATCTATTTTACACCAGTTAAAAGTACAGAGAAAACACAAGACTCTTATTATAGCTCTTTGCACACGGTACTAATATATTTACACCAGATCTCGCTGGCAGTAAGTATATTCCATATGAGTGCTTGTGTATAGCTGCGTAAACGTCCGTATGTTTATATGCGCATTAAAATTCAAGCTCCCATAATTTACGTATGCATATATACGTGTAAAATATGACTGGTGACAGAATTTTTTTTTTTTTTTTGCACTGATGTGAATACAGCACTAATTTACTGACATTCACACGGCTGTGTGTACAGACCCATAGAAAACAATAGGCTGAATTCAGATCATTAAGGAAGAAAAAATCTGTTGCATTTTAGGCACCCGTGTGCTGTTTAAATTACAGTATGGGACATCAGAAGAAAAGAAGATGTATTTGTTTCAGTTCAAAATGATGTTTTATTATTTGTTTATTTTCACAGTAAAATGTTTTGTTGTTTGAGTATACTATTTGATATTCAGAACATCATAGCTGCAAGCAAATGTTATCCCTGTTATATTACAGCTGACGTTATCACAAATAATGTTGCGGATCATAAATATCCATTCTAGCGGTTGAAAAAATAGGTCATAGTGTGAGGATGTTGCTTGGGAACCCCATCGCAGTGCCATGCTGTGCCTAATCACCACCACTGTGGGTCACTCTAGGGAAACCTTTCAAACAGCTGCTGGTCGGTACAATCTGGCACAGTGAAGTGGTGGAGTTTGTTGAGGGTGAGCGAGGAGTAGGAAGTTAAGCAGATCCAGCGATGCTTTCTAACCATGATTCCATTAATAGACTAATAAGGGCTCAGTGCAAGACAAATCCATTTGTTGGAAAATAAATAAAATCTGCACCAACAGCAGGTTATATAAAGAAGTACTGTACTCGTAGAAACCGCATTTCAACTTTCAACATACATATTATCTGTTTTATGTGTAGCCTAGAAGACTAGCCAGAAAAATGTGGTTTAGTTGAAACGGCTTGTATATACCAAGTGGGATAATCACAGCTGTTATTTAACTCCTTGGCTTGAAATTGGAAGTAGAAAGAGCAAAAAATGCGCTAAAAGCACCTTCACAAAGTAATCACATAGTTCATAGAACACTTCTACAGAATACACGGCGAGCACGGCACTGATTAGAGGTCCTAGTATGATTTTTAAATTATTTTTTTAACAGAAATTCCTGTTTGATCGATCGCGTTGGTTCTGAAAATTTGATTGAATCAAAAACTGGGACACATATTATACAAAGGAGTTTATATACAAAACATAGTATACAAAAGAGGTTTTTTTTTTAACTTCACCTAGTGAAAGAAGTATAAATCCTAAAAGCAAACATTTATTGTACTGCAGCTTACCAATTCTTAGATGTGATGGCTGTATTAGTTTTCTTTTTTATGCTTTCTTTCCTTTATTTTCACCTAGTAATCCAGACAGTAAGTCTGTTGTTTTTCAATAGAACAAGCTCTCTTGCAGATGTTGCAGTTAGGGATGAGACAAACCATTTAGAATTGACAGTGGTGCTTACAATGATCAGCTTTTTAAAAAATGTATTTATGTAAAATCTTTATCCCAAAAGAAAAAAAAAAAACAGTTACTGTAACAACTTATAAAGTGTTAGTTTTGGCTTCAATTTGTTAGTGTGTTTAAACATGTTAGTACATCTAACACTCCCCTCCCCCCAGATTGACAATGCTGCTGTTTTCCAAAGGTGCCCATTGTACTCCTTCATCCAGAATGGAGGTACTGTAATACAGGAGGTGTGTTACTGGCCAGATCACCAGGTGCAAATAAAGGAAACAAAGCCTAAATAAAAAAAACTAATGCAGTCACCACATCTAATGGTTGGTAAGCTACAATATATTACATTTTTTGTTTTGGGTTGAACACCGCTTAAACGTCTGCTGGTTTTAAAGCAGTATTAACCCAAAAACAAAAATGTAATATATTGCAGCTTAGCGGTCCTTGATGTGGTGGCTACATTGTTTGTTTTTTTTTGCTAGGCTTTTTTTCCTTTATTTTATTCTGACAACCTGGTTAGTAACACACTTCCTGTCTTAGGGTGTCTCCACTCCACTGGAGGACCTTTGGACAGCAGCTTTGCCAATCTTGTGAGGGTCTAATGTGAGAAGTACTGGCAGATCTACCGGTAAATGGACTTCATTAACAATTTAAAGCCAAACTCCAGCTAACATTTTTTAAGTGGTTACAGAAATATAATTTTTTCCTTTTGGGATAAAGGTTTTACATAAATAAATATCAGCTGATTATTGTAAGTGCCCCATGTCAGCAGTGATGTATGTAGGTTTTGTGCTGCCCTAGGCAACATAAAAATCGGCCACCCCCCCACCCCTGTGGAAGAGAGAGCTTGAGACATTGACCAACAACACCCTTGCCCCTCCACCCTAGAGAGCCTACCCCTGCCCCCGTGCACTGCGTTCCCCACCCGGCGAGAGAGAGAGAAAGACACTCACCTTCACAGCTCCGGACATCCTCAGGAATGAGAGTCTGGCTCTGGATTTACCATCAATCAGCAGGCAGCCTCTCCCTCTCCCACCTGATCCCCATGCCGCATGTGTCCCTTCTTCAGCCCCTTCTTCCAGGGGGCAGCGCTGCCCCCCTGAAAATTGCCGCCGTAGGCAAATGCCTTGTGGTAAATATCCCCTGCATGTCACTGGTAAATGGGTTGTCTCAACCCTTCAACTGTCATTTTTGCTTGACAGCTTGCTATGTCGAAAACAAACTTACTAGCAGGATCAACAGGTAAACAACTTATAAAGTGTTAGCTTTGGCTTCAATTTGTTAGTGTGTTTAAACATGCTAGTACATCTAACACTCCCCTCCCCCCAGATTGACAATGCTGCTGTTTTCCAAAGGTGCCCATTGTACTCCTTCATCCAGAATGGAGGTACTGTAATACAGGAGGTGTGTTACTGGCCAGATCACCAGGCGCAAATAAAAGAAACAAAGCCTAAATAAAAAACTAATGCAGTCACCACATCTAATGGTTGGTAAGCTGCAATATAATTCATTTTTGGTTTGGGGGTTTTATACCTCTTAATTAGAAACAGGAATAGAGAGAAAATTGTTCAATGGTGATACTTGTTAGTGGTGACAACCATTGAGGATTTTCCTCAATTCAGAAAGATTTCTCTTGGTCTCCTGCAGTGTCTACATAACAGTAAGTAAATGGAAATCTTCCTAATGGGTCAAAAACCGCCCCCCCCCCCCAAAAAAAAAAAACAACAAAAAACAATACAGGGGTTAAACTCTTTCTTATTCAATACAAAACTAAAAAATAGTGTTTTGACTTAGATTTACTTTAAGGGTCCATTCACACCAGATGCGGTGGGACAGCGCTGAGCAGTTATTCCAGCTCAGTCCCACCGCATGATGAGGCAAAATGCCCTGTCTACTGTGTATCCGATTCACACCACTACATTGCCGTGGTGTGTGGGAATGGTGCGCTGAAAAAAGAGTGCACTGTTTTTTTTCAGCGCTGCGCGTGGCTCCGCTTTGCAACCGCACAGCGGCCAATTGAACTTGTACTGTCTGTGTGACATTTCAATAAAGTTTGTTTAATAAAAAAAAAGTGCAGTACAGAGTAGTGATCCCTGCTGGACGGCACCGCCGTTGCATTATAAAGTGGTGGCTGGTGTGAATAGACCCTAAGTGCTACTTAACTGTGATAGCCAATAGTAAGCAAACAGAATCCATTGTGTTGTGATTTAAAGTGTTACATACTAAACCCAGGACCCTGCATTCACTATATCTGGTCTCCCCCAGTACACAGAACATGGAAATACAATTATTTCATTAAATATAAACTGCTAAATAAATTTCTCATCAGCAGTTAGAGCAGTCTTCTGACTTCAATCAGTGTCCAGAAGAGCACTGGTTAAAGCTTGTAGTATGAGTTTTCATTCTCCCCTGATTGTCTTATGAGGCTGCATAACCCGTGACTCTCTGTCTGGGCAGCACTGAGTGGCCCTGTGCTGATCACATGCAAAAAAAAAAAAAAAACTATCTAGAAATACACACCAAACTGAGCATGTGCAGCTTGCCCCCAAGGCTCTGTTCTATCTGCAGATGGATTGGGGACAGTAGAAGAAGGGAAGGCTCAGAGAAGACAGAATCAAACATCCTTTTACACAATGCAGAGGATTAACCCCTCAGGTTCCACAGTGAGTATAACAAGCATGCTTTACTGCATATACAGACTGATTATATTTTTGTGGATTTAGTAACACGTTAAGTAGAGTGAATTCTGACTGGTTGCTTTGAGTTACTGCACCTAAGAATTAGCAGCTAATAAAAGTTCTTCAGAAAGCAGTTCTAAAGGCATAAAGCTTTTACCTTATTCTGCGTTAAGGTAAATGCTCCCCAACCCCCAAATACTTACCTGAGTCCTCACTCTGTCCAGTGCTGTGCTCATCTGTAGTGGCTCCCTCTGCTCTCTCCTTCCTCACAGGACAGAGGTAAGCAATCCTGTAGGGGGCAGAGCTGGGTCGCGCTGTCTGTGTCTATACGCACAGGCAGCGCAGCTCGGGATTGAGCCTGCAGGTGTGTCACCATAGGAAGTGACTTCCTATGGTGGCACACCAAGAAGAGGAGGAGCCAGGAGTGCCAACAAGGGATCCTAGAAGAGGAGAATTGGGGTTGCTCTGTGCAAAACCATTGCAAGCACTTTAAAGAAGGCAGTATATGCATGATTTACTAACTAAGATAACAAACGTTACACCTTAGCTAATCATTGCTTAACCCCTTCCCGCCGGCGCCTCACGGCCCTTTAAGAATTTCAGATGCCGGGAGGCGGGGCGGGTGGGGCGTAGTTTAGGGATCATCTGACCGCCGTGACGCTGTGTCACGGCGGTCACATGATTGGGAAAGGTCCCGATCGAAAGAGCGGACCGGGACCTTTCTGTGAATACCGCACTTGTGTGCTGGGAGGGCGCAGGGCGCGCGCTCTCAGCACATATGTTTTTTGTTACATGAACGCAAATGTGCGGCCGCTCAGCGTCTAGGCCCAGACGTCGGGAGGCCGCACATTTGTGTGTAGCCGGTGTAAAGGGGTTAATTTAAAAAACCAAAGCGAATCACGATAAATCACACACCTAGAAGATTCACCTGCATTCAATGTTTGGTGAATGTCAGATTCACTGCTTTGTTAATATATAGCCCTAGGATATTTTATACCTATATAATCTATATTCTTACTGGTTACCAAAAAATTGTGAAAAAAATAGGGGAAAAATGAATATTTAATGAAATAATACATTAAAAATACAGAACTGGTTTAGAATGTTAACACTTGTTGACAAGCTGTATAATCTGAAACGTTTTGATGCAATGGCATAAACAATATAGAAGGATGTAAAAAAGAGCACTGACACTAAATACGGTTATCTGTATGGCTCATCTATACTGACTTTTCTTTGCATCTGGGCGTATCTTGTCCAACACAAGTCAATGGGGTGGATTTACTAAAAGCAAATAGACTGTGCACTTTGCAAGTGCAGTTGAACTCATTTTCCCCAGAACTTAGTAAATTTAGCAAAGTGTCAGTTTGTAAAGAATACTCAATCAGGTGCAAAAAAATATAAAACCCAGTTTTTTTGCTTGCGTGTGATTGGATAATGGAAATCAGCAGGGTCTTACCACATTTACTAAGCTCTGGGGAATATTAGTGCATTATTGCCTTTAGTAAATCCACCCCACTGAGGCTTCCAAATCAACTTAAAGCAATTAAAGTGTTACTAAACCCAGGACCCTGCATCCACTATATCTGGTCTCCCACAGTACACAGAATATGGAAGTGAAATTATTTTAGTAAATATAAACTGCGAAATACCTTTTTACATCAGCAGTTAGAGCAGTTTTGTGACTTCTATCTGTGTCTAGCCCAGCACCAGCTAAAGCTGGTAGGAGGAGTTTTCTTTTGCTCGAGGAGGATGCAGGACCTCTGACCTCTGTCTGGCCAGTGCTGATTGGCCCTGTGCTGATCACATGCACTCAAGAAAAAAAAAAAACCCTCTAGCAATACACACCAAACTGAGCATGTGCAAGAATACGGTTCAGTCTATCATATCAGGAAGTAAGAGGTGGTCGCTTGAACAGGGGAGGAACAGGAAAGAAAGATCAAACGGCCTTTTTACACAATGCAGAGGATTAACCCCTTTGGTTCCACAGTGAGTATAACAAGCATGCTTTTCTGATTATACAGACTGATTTTGCTGTTGTGGTTTTAGTAACACTTTAAAATCAGACTGAAGCTCCTACAGGAACGCCAAAGCCATTGACAGTGGGGTTGATTTACAGAAGGCAAAAAGACTGTTCACTTTGCAGAGGAAGTTGCACTTTGCAAGGCAGTTTTCCCCCAGAGCATAGTGAATGAGGTAAAGCTCTGCTGACTTCCATCACCCAAGCATGTGCAAGCAAAAATGCTGTATTTATTTATTTATTGTGCGTGATTAGGTATTCTTCGCAAAGTTACATTTTACCGCATTCGCTGATCTCTGGAGAATATTCTCTTGCAAAGCGCAACTTCCTTTGCAAAGTGAACAGCCTATTATGTAAATCAACCCCAGTAACTCTAGAAGAAAGTCAAACCAACTCAGCATTTAAAAGCATGCTGCATTTCATATGTTTCTGAGGGTGACACCCATATACACGAACCCTTGTACCTTAAGTTCATAAGAAGAGATGTAAATTCATGAGCTAAAAAAAATAGCGACTGACCCGTCACATTCATAAGACTGATGGGACACCTTTTCTTTAATCTACATCATTTTTTACCAACCTATGTATTCAGTACATTATAACAGTGACATCTATCATGCAGAGGAAAAGCGCCAGCTCATGATTAAAAGGTTAGTCCCTATTGTGTTGGCTTACACTTCATTGTTTGCTAGGTACATTTTTGGAATAGCGTCCATTAGACCGACGTAGGGCGTGATGTCACTAACAGCTAGAAATAGACGTCGGTGTGCATTTTGCCTGTCTCACATCAGTTCCTTTTCAAAACACTCAGAAAGCGAAGGCATGCAAAAGTGCTTCCTTTAAGCTCAGCCTGAGGCTTGTTTGTCCTGGGGACATGGCGAGGAATGAAAAAAAGGATGACATGCCCTTTACAAATCACTGTGTGGACAGTAGCATTTCATTGCTATTACTTAATCTGTTTGTATTACTTGCATACCAGTTCAGTCAGACATATTCTATGAGCGCTTAATACAAAGTAATAGCAAATTCCAGCACAGCTTTTGCTTTGCCCCAGAAGCAGAGGTCATATTTATAGGCTTACTTGAAAACATCGTGCAAGTGACAATGGCATTCAGTCTATAGCAGCCTTTTGACTTCAGAGGAACCCTTGAAACTCTTTTCAGGTCTTGGGCAACTCTTGTTAAAAAACATTTATTTTGGTAGTCAATGGGAAAAATGTCCCTTACATTTATGGCCGATGGGGAGAATGTCCACGGTACTCTTGTACAGCTGTGGTCAGAATGCATCCTTTACAAAGAGCTAAAATGATTACTGGTGTCATACAGCTGACTTTGTCAAGTGGCATTGGCCCCATAATGATGCCAGTATTATAAAGTGGGAGGCCAGTCAACCACAGCTCATGGAAAACCTAGCAACCTCTGGAGGAAACTTAGAGTTCCATAGAACTGTGGTTGACAGTGGCTGGTCTATGGCAATAAGAAATCAACTTTTCACTGCTATGCCTAGCGCTTTCTGTTATATTAGGATTGATTAGCATGGGTTACCACACATCATTGGTCCTGCACAATTTACCGAAAGGGTTTTTGCTCCCAGTAAGAAAGTGGGAAATCCACCAATGTTGTGCCATTGATAGAGGTCATCTCCTTAAACCTCGATCAGTCAGCTTTTGCACAGTATAAACTTCTAATTTGGTCACAGCTGATTAACCATATTTAGTGCAATGCAGCTCTCGCCACAAAACCCCTTGAAAGCAAGAGGTATGCTAAGCCAGAAGTGGGATGCAACAGCCACATAATACAGACTACTAAAGAGTACTGCTCTTGATCGTCTGTTTCTGACAGTGTAGAAGACACTGTAAGTCCTGGAAGGAATAGCAAAGCATGTACTGATAAAAAAACCACTAAGGGGCCACTTATAAACCAGTTGTATGGGCTTACCATGGACATACCACCACTTTAAAAACAAATAAAGAGAGAGTCGTAGAGGAAGCAGAGCACCATTTAGAATAATGGAAAAAAATAAGGCTGGGATGAGAAGTGCATGTGATCTTTCCTCCAGTCATGGAGTTCTCTGCAGCATTTAGCAGAGAGAATTTTGTAGGACTTGCTCTGTACCATAGCCTACCATTTATGAATAAGATTTAACATGCAGGCCATACTGTAGTGTCCAGTGGAAAGCGGTATCTGTTCTCTGTTATAAAACTGGCCCCTGAATGTATTGTAAAATACTGCTAGTATAACTGCCCAAAATCTATGTTCATATTATCTGATCCCAGTCTCCTGCACAGCAGATGTTAATGAAGGGACTAGTTATAAAGCATAAAATATAAATTTACCCATGGCTTACAGCTCCCCTGAGTTGTTAACACCAGCCTTTCAAAACACCTGTCCAAGTCAATGGGCATTGCTCTAGAATAAGTTAGCATTAATTGTGAGCTGGGGGTAGAACTGTGCCATCTCACCTTTTGTTAAATGAGTGTCACATAGTCATGAACTAGCAGAAAGTACAATAAAGTACATAAATACTAAGGCAGAGTATACAAATCAGTAATACGATAACTGTTTAACTCTTGTATACAAGTGCATTTGTTTGTGTACAAACTGCTTTTCACCACTTACCAATTTGAATTAAAAAACAAAAAAAACAGCTTGAAGTAAGTTACAAGGCAATCAGAAGCAACCCAAAGAAACACAAAAGCATACTTGCTGATTTTCATGTACACAAACTCTTAAAGTGACATTGTCATGGGAGAAGTATGAAGGCAACCTTTGTTGACCTCCTTCTAAAAATGCTTGTTCCAAGTCTGTGTCTGTCATCAACATATCTTGAGTCATAGATCCGGAACAAGCATGCTGGAAATAAGTGCCTCAAAAATAAAATTCCTGTCTCTTTACTTCTTTCAGGTCATTGACCCTGGAAGCATCGAACCAATGAATCATCATGACAACCAGGCAACAAGCATGGCTGCCATTACTGATCATCTTTCTGAATGGTCAGCATTGGCAGCCTCCGTGATTCTCTCTTCATAGGTTTTCTTTATGCACTGAAAGGACAGCTGGAATTTTGAGTAAAGAGTTCACTAATCATCCTCCTTTGGTCTTAGCATCCAAAAGTTAATAGAAGGAGGCATAATCAAATTAACCCTAATAACCCTATATGTATGCAGGGGTATTTTATTTCAAGTAACTTTATTTTTATGATTTTTAGTGAAATTTAGAGCTAGATATTTTTTTAATAATTATTGTAAACGTAGGCTTCCAATTTTCTAAACCTACTGGCCATCTGCCCACACAGATTATCCAAGCAGTATCCCATGCATAAGACCTCCTTATCTCTGCTTGAATTTCACCTCAGCCAAGCAAAGGCTTCCTCAAAGATCTGTCATGGATGGCTCATGCACAAACAAGTCAGCACCACAAAGACAAATAACAACTTTACAGCAACTAATTTGGATACCTTTTCCCAAAACTTCATAGCTAAGTATCGATGTGTCAGAGATGGACTCCTCAGATATTTGTTTATTGACTTTCTTGTAGAATTTGTGAAGAAGGTGACACCATCATTTGAGGATTCTGATGGGGTTGGGTTGACAATGGATTACCCAAGAGGTATAGTGTAAGAAGATTGAATTTAATAATATGTGATTTAATCTACCAGGGCCAGCATCCATGCAAAGTGGAAAGATCATTTTGGTAAAAATAACTATAGACTTCCCTTTTGTAGAATTGTTTTAGCATGTGGAATATGGATTTAGAACCTCTGAACCATGAGTTTAATGCATCTGGCAGCATACTCAGGAATAGAAGAAGATTGGACAGAGTCCTCTTTATCTTCTGCCAACTTTTACCATGCTTCATATAGGGTGATACATGCATCATTCCGTTTCTTCTATTACTTAAGTATAGGACTGCCTGTAAAATAAGGTTTCAGAGTTCATCCATTAATAGTTAAAAATCTATTGAGGTATATATGTTATATGATGCTTGGATGAACCCTATAATCTCTTACCACTGAGATCTGTTCTCAAAGAGAAGAACAAATTTAACTTATAATGGCCTTAGAAACAGTGGTCGTATCTATTGGTTCTTTAGTGACTTAGAGCTATTCCCTTCAATTAGACCTGATTTCTAATGTGAATAAATTATAAGTTATAGGGAACATCTAAATATGTCTAAACAGTACCCTGAAAATGTACATTTTGCCTAGAAATTCTTAAAAAAAATAGCAGAGCATGTTCTTTACCTACAACCTCATAGCTGTATATCTGCACTGCACTGATTGCAAATCTCACGAGATCTGAAATGAGACTTCTTCAGGGCTTTTTTTCAGCTGGAATTTGGTGAAACCACCACCTCTAGCTCCCTGCTCACCATTATGTATTATTATTTGTTTACAAGTGACAGCTTGTCTCCCTACGGCTCCCACAGATCTGATCTCTTGAATGGCTCCCACTGAGTGCAGGATGGAGACAAGGGAGATGCAGATGCCTACTGAATGTGACAGAGGCAGAGCCACATACAGTGTGTTCGATGGTACTAGAGGCGGCTGGGTGCCTCAGCTTAACAGCAACACAAGGAAGACATATGGGAAATGGTGGAGCTATTAAGGAGTGGGGGAAAAGATAGGGGCAGTGGAAGGGGGGTTGCATGCAGAGGTCAGAGCTGAGGAGGGTTGAAAGTGAGATGTGGATGGGGGATGCAGAGGTAAGCAGCTGAGGAAGAAGGCTGA